GCCTCCTCCTGCCTCCTCCTGCCTCCTCCTGCCTCCTCCTCATCCTCCTCCTGCCCCCTCATCCTCCTCCTCCTCAGAGAGGGAGGTGGGAACCATCCACCCCGTCTACCCCATCCTGGATTCCCCTCACCCTCAGACCCCGCTGGGACCCTCCCTGGGATCGGGAATTCCCGCTGACATTCCCGGGATCGGGAATTCCCGCTGACATTCCCGGGATTCTCTGCTCCGCAGGAAGGAGGTGGGGCTGGACCTGTTCTTCCCAAGCCAGATGCTGGAGAACCTCAAGGTGAGGGACACATGGGACAGGTGACACAGGTGTGACGCATCTGGGGACACATGGGTGTGCGCCATGTGTCTGTCCGTGTGTGTCCATGTGCATTCCCATATCCCTGTGTCCCAATCTCCCCCTGCTCCCATGTCCAAGTGTCCAGCCCCATCCCAGTATTCCCATACCCAACACTGCCCCATCCCAGTATTCCCATATCCAACACCGTGTCCATCCCACTATTCCCATACCCAACGCCGCCCCATCCCAGTATTCCCGTACCCAACGCCGTGTCCATCCCACTATTCCCGTGCCCGACGCCGTGTCCATCCCACTATTCCCGTGCCCGACGCCGCCCCATCCCGCTATTCCCGTGCCCGACGCCGTCCCCATCCCGCTATTCCCGTGCCCATCCCGCTGTTGCTGTCCCCGACGCCGTCCCCATCCCGGTGTTCCGGTGTCCCGGCAGCCGCGGCACCTGCGCAGGATGATCCAGCAGACGTTCCAGCAGTACGCGCTCCTGCGGGAGGAGGAGTGCATCCTGAAATTCCTGCACACCCTGGGAACCTTCGCCCCCATCGACCAGGAGAGCTTCCGCTGCCAGCTCGTCGTGAGTGGGATTCGGGATGGGGGATAGAGGATTTGGGATGTGGGATGGGGGATACTGGGATAGGGGATACGGGGACAGGGGGTAGGGGATTTGGTATATGGGATTCAGGATAGGGGATGTGGGATATGGGATTTGGGATGCAGGATAGGGGATTGGGGTAGGGAATACTGGATACTGGGATTCGGGATATGGGATACTGGATATGGGAT